TTTCGAATTCGGGATTATTTCGGGACTAGTCGGGATTTTCAACTTAGTATTGTTTGCCTGTTAAATATGATAAAATATAATAATTTAAAAAATTTTTAATATTTGCAGTTACTCCAATTGACTTATTTGCCGAAAATTATGGCTACAATGGATGACTAAGCGTGCCAATTCTCGGCAATTGTGTAGTAGAGAATTATAATATTACTGCCAGCAGATTTTCTAAAAGCTCCTAATGCCACAATTTTAATTTTTGCCTATATTACCCACCATCCTACTCTAAAAGTACACATCACCGTCTGTATACTTAACATAACGGCATAATAGAAATTCTAAAATTCGTAATAGACAAGCGCTGACAAGTCGTGTTGCTAAGCGAAATATTTTTTATGTAGAAATTTAATGCTATTTCTACCTATAGACTGTCTATGCAAAGTGGCAAAAGCGCTCCACCGACGACAATCAAACCAATCAAGCGGCGAAAGCGAATGTACACACGAGCGCTTGCAGAAGTATATTTTCTGCTCATATAGTTACGTATTGAGGCACTCATAACGCCCAACGCACTGTTGCTCAAGCCGCGCGCTTATCCGCAGGGCCTTTTAACAGCACATGTCTATATACTTTTAATAAGTACTGTCGTATACGCTCAGCGCTTGTATGAAAGTTGAATGTACCCAAGGCTTTGCCAATTCTAATTTCCTTGTTGGCTGCCTCGGCAAAAAATCTTAGCTGCAACGCGTCTCTAAATATTCTGCACCAGCCAAAGACATAGACGCGTTGTTTTGTGGTTCTTCCTCTCCTTTCATCTACTTCATTCTTTTCGTGGTTCATTAAGTGGTTCGCTGTTGTGTTGAGTACAACCGCGCGTACTCACGTGCCCACTTCTAGACTTATGTGTGCGTTTATGGCGCATCGTAAAGCTTCTGTCTCGCCAGGTTGGCCGTCACCGCCGCCTCCACCGCCGTCGCACTTACAGTCGCAGTCAAAGTTATTGAAGTCGGTGTCCGCCTGCTGTCGCCTCGAGTTTGTTTTAGTACGTGCAACATTCTCTTTAATTGACAAGTGTGTGTATTTTTAATGAAGTGTCAATGCTGACGGTACACCTATCGGCGGATGTATAAAGTGTCTGGCCGTGTGACAATAACCGGCAAAGAAAGAGGCGTACAAATGTTTTTTCATTATGTAATTAACAATTTATCCGTAAAGTGAGCATTTAATTACAGAGAAAGGTAGTTAAGGTAGTGAGAAATTAAATTAGACAGCATGAAGCTAGTGATTAATGTATAGACTTTGAATCTGGACAGCCTTCCGATATATTTACGACTTGCTAGAGCTCACTGAAGGCCGTTTCTTCAAGTGTTGAGTATTGTATTAAGAGCCAAATAAGAAGAGAAGCTCATACAATATGCTCACTTTGACGATACAGGGATTTCAATTAAGATTTCGGACTTACCGTTTTGTTGAACTCGTTGGATTCGCATTCTCATGAATATGAATCACCATTCGTCTCTTATTAGATTTTCTTAACGCTTAAAAATAACGGAAGACGTCTTTCGAATGCTCCTAGTTTACTTTGTTCTTACATGCTTGATTCCATCGGTCTTCAAAGACAAGTGGTAGGTCGATAACTAATTGGTTATTGGTGTGACAAAACCAGTCTCATTTGTTAGATAATATCTATATGATGCTGGTACTAACTCCAGCGCGAAGCCGAATTTGTTCAAGTATTTCCATTTTCTCTTCCAACTTTCCACTGTGGGTTTCTCAAGGAGTTTTTGTAATAATTTTCGAACATCCAAACGTTTCGTAATATCGTAGATAGATTAACTTCAAAAGAGAGGCATGATAGCCTAATAGAGGATCCCGGGTTCCGAGCCCTGATTTCCTAGAAAATAATTAAGTCCACTTTTGAAGACTGACCCACAATTCAGGTAGTTACACTTCTTTATTAGTCATTAATTCTCTGGTTGGCCGCTGAGAGCGTACATTTGTACTCTTGGATAAAAAGCCACCATTCGTTGTTCTGCAGCTCTCTTTTTAATACCGCAATAATCTCCTCGTCCTTAATGGAGTTCCAGTGCCCCCAACTTTACTTTCGTTGCAGCTCATTACTGCTGGTGATAGAAAGAAACTATAACAACCAGCCGTGCTTTGAAGAAAAATTAGATACTGGCGAGCAGCCGCAACAATGGCAACAACAACAACCAACCGCAAGTAAAGCTAGAGCAGGGGTAGCATTAGCAGTTACCCAGCAACAGTTGGCCATGGCCACTACATGGTGCTTATATGGGCATTGCCAAGCCGACAGACGGACGGACTTGTACGAGTGGCAACCGCAAATCCAATTAGGCCAAGTGTCAAAGGGCAAATTGGAAATTTTTCAGTTGAGACAAGTACAAGTGCAGCGAGCAGCAAATGAGTCAGCTGCGTGTAGATGTGTGTGTGCGTGTGTGTTGTTGTACGGTTTTGTTGCCTCTGACGCTAATTAAACTTACTGGCTTAATGTGCTGCTGAACAGTAGCCTAAGCAGAAGAGGAGGAAAAACATGCAACCACAACAACAATAGGGAAGTGCGGTGGATCGGCTGATTGCTGTTGGTTTTGCTTAAAGAAGCCAACGCAAGAAAAAATGCAGGAAAATGGCCTTTGTAAAAATAGGCCGCACACATTTAAGCCCGTTTGATTTGCGGCTTACTGCAGCAGCGCTTGAAAGGTAGCCAGCGCTACATAGCTGTTGTGGCTACGAAGGCGCGCTCGCATGAGAGGTTAAGGCTTGGTTGTCAGTCAGCGTAAAATCCGCTGGATTTAATGCGTTGGCATCGCAAGGCGGTTAATTAAGTAATTCTGTGGTGAATTGTTGATTGTTACTTTTTTCAAAAGAAATTAATCAATAAAAAATTATTTTATTTTTTTTTTATTTTTATTTATTTTAATCTTTTGCTTTCTTGCTTAAAAGTTTTCAATACCTGATCTTTCGATTAGAAAAAAAATTTATAATTAAAAAAAAAATAATATAAAACAATTTATTTAAAAATTTTTTAAATATTTTTTAATAAAATAGGTATAAAATATTTTTTAATAAAAAAATTAGAAAAATAATAAAAAATATTAGAAAAATATTAAAAAATTAGAAAAATAATTTTAAAAAATTAGAAAAATATTAAAAAAATTAGAAAAATAATAAAAAATAAGAAAAATAATTTTAAATAAAAAAATTTGGTAAATCAAAAAAATTGTTAACCAAAAAACGGTTGAAAATGAAAAAAAAATATAAATTTAAAAAAATATACAAGCATTAGTCAAGAATTCAACTTTCTGTTCAATATATGTATGTATATATTTAAATATTCATTCTTTCATTTAATTCAAAATAACTTTTTTAACCATTTTATTTTTAATTTTTTGATTATATTATATAAAAGAGTTTTCATAATTAAAATTAAATCATTTTTATTTTTTATTGCAATATGTTGCACAAACCAAAACTTTATTATAAAATATATTTACTAAACATAAATTCTATTACTTTTACACTTGACGGAGCACAATTTGTGCAACCAACTAAAAAATTTGGGTATTAACAAAAACTACTATATCAATTGTTCTAAAACTTTAAGTGTATATTTATACATATTTTAAGAATACACAGTAAATTTTTGAGGAAAAAAATTTAATATTTCTCGATTTTACAGTTTCGAGCTGAAGTCCTCCACTGCTGCAGTAATTACGGCCTTCAAGGTGGATGAAACTTAAAAAACAAAATTCTCTGTCAAAAAATATTTTACTTCTGTCGAAAACAAAATCAGAAATTAACAAAAATGACGGCGTTTTTTTAAGTTAAATTTTATACAAATATTAATCGTTTTTTGGCCTGCCGATAATCGATTTTTGATCAGATTGAAAAAACTAGTAGGCCGTTGTTTGGAAAACTACATACAGAACATACAGAAATCAGTTCTCTTTGAGTAAGCACTCTAGTAATTTAGCAACAAGAAGTTTTGAGAAAAACGCGTCTAAACATAAACTGATGAAAACTGTAACTCAAAAATTATTAGTGATTTCGATTTAAAGTAGTAATAGGCATAACATATAGAAATATGAAAAAAAACGATTTTTTTTTAATTTCACAGTAGGTGTAACTCCTAAATTCTTAATATTTATACCCTGAACAGAGTATATATGTTTGTAGCACCCAAAAAGAACGTCAGAGACCCCATAAAGTATATATATTAATGAACAGCGTGACTAGCTGAGTCTATTGAGACATGTACGTCTTTTGTCCATCTGTCCGTCTGTTTGTATACATGTATGCGAACTAGTCCCTCAAATTTTGAGATATCGGTCTGAAATTTGCCACCCTTCCTTTTTCACCAAGAAGATACTCTATTGTCGAAACGTCCAATATCACACCACTGTAGCATATAGCTGCCATACAAACTGAACGATCCGCATAAAGTGCTTGTATGGAAAACTTTTTCATTTGACGAGATACACAAAATTTGGAATGAATTGTTGCCTAAAGCAGTGATGCTATCTTCGAAAAAATTGTTCAGTTCTGATAACTATAGCATATAGCTGCCACACAAACGTAACGATCGGAATCAAGTGCGAGATATTGCAACCGAAGCTAACGTTTTTTCTTGTTTTTCATAAAATTCTGCTCAAAAAAAAATTTAAATGCTGTTGCAATATTCAAAACAAATTTTTTGCAAAAAAAAAAACAAATTTATTTTATATTTTATATAACGTTTATTTTGTTTATTTTTTATAGAAGCTCTATATATTTTAAATCTGCAATTTTAATTAAGCTTCTTGTTTTAATTTTAAGCTTATTTTTATTTAATAATTTTTTTTTAATACAAAATTATCAATATTTTTAGCTTTTTTAATATTCACACTTTACTTATTACTATAAAAATTGTGTTATTGTTATAATATTTTTTTTTGTAAAAAATCGACTTCACAATTTTAACCAAAAAATTTTTTTTATTCTATTTTCAGCATAATCGGCAATATGTAAGTATATTTCCAAGTATTATTAATCACCTTTTGTATATCAATATTTTTCGAAATATTTTTAAACATGCATAATTAACTTCGCACCTCAAATAACTGTATTGCGGCTTATAAACTGCGCTTGAATGCTGCAAAGTGCATATTTCATTTGCAATTATCATTTGAACTTTTAATTTTTGCAAATAAATTTTCACTGAAATGCGCATAATTATGCATTAACTATTTACATGCACCGTTATGTGTGTAATTCCAAAAATTTTAATGCATTTCTGCTTTCAATTGCAAACTTTTGCATCATTGCACTCGGCGCGGTACATTATTCATGGCGATTTCCTGCAACAGTCGAAAAAAATGCATTGACGTTTTGCGTGAAAGTTTTTGTTGCGGTTGTTGTTGTTGCAGTTGTCATGCCTAAGCTCGAAATTTGACCTAAAAAATGTATTTTAGATTTATTATATAATTCTACTTTGGGTATTTCATATTCGATACGATTTTTTGCCGCTTTTATTGTTGAAAGAAATATTTTTACAAAAACAAAGCAAATAAGTAAAGCGCACACAAAATAAAACTGCAAATAAACGAAACAATTTTTATTTGCAACACGACTATGCCACACGAGCGGCAAGCGGATGTGCGCTGCTATATGTGCAAACTTTTGCACATGAGTGTGCATATGTGTGCGTGCATTTTTATTTATATTTGCATGCTGCTATATTTGAATACATGCATATGTATGTGTGTGTGCGCAAAAAACGCATTTATACAGTGTTGCATTTATATTAGATTTTCGCTTGGCCTGCGGCCGCCGCACTGCGCTGCTGCGCCGCTGACCTGCTGCCTGCTTCCTCGTTGATTTCGTGCTGCACTATTTTCCTGCGCATTTTTCGTTTGTTTGCTGCTTTTACAAGTATTTATAAATATTTTTATTTCAACTTTTTTGTTGTTTTGCAAGCAGCGTTGCATATTTTCGCCGTTTGGTTAGTTTGCCGCGAGCTTTTGTAGAATACATATGCAAGCAATGACTTTCGTAATGCTGGAAAAAATGCAAATTGGATTTCGCGGTGTATGTGCGTGTGGGTATACTTTTGCAATGCTTTGCACTTCCCGTGAAATGATATCCTCAGCGGCAGCGATAGCGGAAGAAAAACGTTTGGCAGTCGCGTTATGGGAGCGTTTTAATGGGGCGCGCAGAAGTGACAGCAGCGTCTAAATAAAGCAACAACAAAAATTAAAAATAATGCAGTTCAAAATTTAACTGTCCGTTTTTGTTTTTTTCTGCCAGCGGTTACACCGTTATCAGCCACCACAGCCCGCGTTATCGACCACAAGCGCTGCGTGCGCTCAGGTTCAGGTTCAAAACGAGTTTAAATCACGCAAATATTATTTATATTTTATTGAATTTGCATATCTCTCGCGGTTGTTGTTGTTATTGTATTTAATAAATTCCACTCACACAAAATGCAAGCAAACGACTGCAAGCGCCACAAAAACAACAAATGTGTGGCATGCGTGCACCGGAAGTTGTAAATTTTAATCGCGAATTCGCGTTCACCGCCGCCACATATTGATACGCCATATTTACTGTATGTACGACGACACGCCGTTCGGTTAGTTGTGTTTGTTTTTGCTTTTCAACAAATGACATTGACATAATAATTATGCAATTAAGTGGACAAAGCACTTGCTGCAAGTATTTGTTTATATTACATAAATACATAAATACACACATACATATACATGCATATATGTATATCTACAGTTATTTATGTATGTTTGCGCATCGTAAACTAATATTTCCATAGCATGTTAATTAAATGGTAATTTGTATGCAGGAAAAAGAACATAAATTTCACATTTGACTGACGCTGCATGAAAAATAAAAATTATTAACAAAAATTTAAAATTAAAGTATGAAACAAGTTTGAAAAATATTAAACTTTTTTAAGCAAAAATTTTAGATATTAAAAAGTTTAATTAAATTTTTTTGTTTTTAAATAAACTATTAGTTAAATCAAATTAATTATTTTTAGATTAATTTTAATTCTAAAAATTTCACAATTATTAATATGTGGAACATAGCTTTGAAATATAACAAACTTTTTTATTTTTTCTATTCAAAAATTGTAGAAATTAAAAAAACTAAATATTTTTTTTTAATAAAGTATTTATTACTATTTTATACTTTAATTTAATTAAAATATACAATTTTTATATAAATTAAATTAAATTAATTTTTTTAATTTTTATATTAATTTTATTTTTTCAAAATTTTAAAATGTTTAATGAAAATAATATATTAAACCTAATTAACCAAAAATTATAGCAATTAAAAATGTTTATTAATTTTTAGCATTTTTTTAATTTAATTAAACTATTATTATGAATATAATTAATAATATTATATATATTTTTTATTTAAATGAAATGAATTTATTTTATTTAGTTTTCACAACTTTAGTATGGAAAAGCTTTGAAAAATTTAAAAATTAAAGTCCAAAATTTGTAGAAATTAAAAAAAAATTAAATCACTTTGTTTTAATAAATATTGGTATTTTTATTTAAGTTAAATGAAGTTATCAAAATTTTTTATTTAAATTAATTTAAATAAATTTTTTTTTGAATTTTTAGACTAATTTTCTTATTCAAACTTTTAAAAATTTTAACATATGGAATAACTTTGAATAAAGAATTGTAGAAATTAAGAGAGTTAAATTAATTTATAGTATTTTTTTAATCAAATTGTTATAATATTTTATATAAATTAAATGCAATTATTATTATTTTTTATATATTTAAATACATATTTTTTTTCAAAACTTTTAACTTTTACTTTTACTTAACGAAAAATATTAAACTTTTTTTATATAAAATTTGCGAAGTTAAAACATAATTAAAAAAAAAGGTTTGGTTCTTTTAATAAATTATTATTTTTTATTAAATTTAACTGCAGCGCGCTAAAAATCAATTTTTAATAAAATATTTTTTTTTTGTTTTAAATCAAAAAGTTTTGTTGCTTATTTTGGTAAACTTTTTCGAAATCAAAAGCAATTAATATTGCTAAAGACACGCAAATCAAGATAATTTAATTTTACCAAACTTTTTTTTATTCGAAGAGTCTCCAAGCCAGTTTAATAAAAAATAATTTGTAATTTCAAGGAAATTTACTACAAAAAAATATTTCTTCAAAACTTTTTTGTGTACGCAAAACTTCAATAAAATTTATAAAAACACATCTTTTTGTGTGTGCAATAATTCAAAACCTTTATACAAATAAGCATTTTATCAACGCAATTGGTAGAGAAATTCCTAAAACAACCACAAATGTGCTGAGTACAACAAACAATCAATCAAAAAACCACCAGCTCAAAATAATTTGTTTGAGCCAAACCGCAAATAAGGAAATGCTTTTAAAAAACTTTTAAAAATAAAAATAAAATCCAACAACTTGCCTTCAATTGACTCAGCCTTGTTTGCTGATCAACTGCTCGCATCAGATTCGATCTGCCACGAAGCTTTACAGCAAGCAATAATAACTGCAGAAAGATGATCGATAAAGGCACGAACACTGAACAAATAAGAAAGAATCAAGCGCGCTAAAAATAAACAAAGCGAATGATGAAGAAATTTACGCAACACAGCTGAATAATACTTTTCAACAAGGTGATCGTGCAATTTTCGCCACACACACATACAGGAAGAATAACTCAGCGCTATAGAGGCTGTGCAAACAAAGAAATTTAAAACCACAAAAAACTTAAGAAATTTGTAAGCGAGGCGTACACAAACACACGCTCTTCGGTGCGCGCTTTGAAAAACTAACAGTCGGCAAACGTGATCATGACTCAGTGCTCGTGTTGCGTCGATCGATTTCGAAAACCCAAAAAATTAATTTTTATAAGCGTGAAACTTAGTCAGCTTTTTTTCTTCATTTCTATACTGCAACGCGTTTAATTTTTTCCCGCAACCGCTCACTTAATTGCGAAGCTGCAGCAGCGCTGATCGTGCAGCTGTGCAAATAAAGTAAATATCACAGGCCTGCAAATTACAGTGTGCATAACGAGCGCTTGCTCTGCTACAGAAGTATGGCTTGGAAGACGCGTTTTAGTGTAGCTCGTCTGTTACGCTGCAATGAGCAGGCAAAGCAAGTGATCCTTGCATGCGATCTTGTCAGCAAACTACGCGTATTGCGTTTAGTGGCAAAGCCAAAATGCGCCAAGCAGTTTTTACAAACCCTGCATTATGCTGCCTTTATTTATTTTGCAAGCAAAAAGATGTCTGATAACCAATAATTACAGTCGACTTTTGATTGGGTTGATTGCCTGTCTGCGCTGTGAAGACTGGCTGCGAATTATGCACAGGCAGTGCGACGGGCAGGAAGCAATTGCGGGAAATGTGTGGCGGCAGCGGCAGAAGAGCATAAAATTGGCTAAGCAAATGAGTGTTAGTCGAATTGTAGGTCTGTATTCACTAACCTATTCCCACAGCTGATGCTCAGTGCCAGTCAAATTCAGACATCTCTGGTCATATATGACTCAGGAGCGCTGCAAGCATTTAACTTAAGAATTTTTTGCATATAAGCATTATAGCGACCACGCTAGCTCCTGTATTTGTTGTAAACATTTACATATGTCTGAAGTTGCTTTCTTGCTATGTATTTCTACAATAATGCCATTGCCAGACCACGCGCATGTCAGTTGCTCGGTAATAAGCTTTTGGTAAAATGTAGAATTTAGTGTCGTGTCTTTGCTTTGTCTTAATTTAACATTAAAACATTATTTTATGACTCCTATCATCTGCTGGGTATACGCATTTTTAATGATACTCACATAAATGAGCGCATGATTATCTTCTTTGTTTCGCAAGTCAAAATAGCGATCGCTATCATACTGTTTTGACTTCGCTACAAATGAAAGGCCAACAACTTCCTCACTTCCATGGTCACTGCATCTACCATGCAGCTACACTGATCTGTAGATCGCACTGTGATCAATGATGCCGCA